GGGTGGTGGGTCTTGGACAGGGAGCTCCCGCGGGCGGCCCTGCCCCACGTACCGAGGTCCAGTCGGTCCGGATCTGCCACTCGCTGCAGATCTTGAGCTGGCAGGTGCTGGTGGTGCCCGGCTTCTCCAGGTGCTGGCAGCGGTAGGGCTGCACCGTCAGGCTGTGGTTGGCGTACACCTGGCGGCACAGGACCTGGCGGTGCTGCGTGCCCAGGCCGCAGGTCTTGCTGCACTCGGACCACTCCCCGATGTCCCAGCTAGCTCGGGAGCGAGACAGCGAGAGGGACAGGCGGGTCAGTCAGCGGGGAGAGAGGCCGAGCCAGCTCTCAGAGCGTCAGAGCCCTCGCCGGCAACCCCAGCCTGGAGCGGTGCCCGGCGGTCCGCCTACGGCCGGGGGCCCCGTAAAGGATGCAGCTTTGCTCCATGTGCTGTTTACCAGTGATCAGGGCTCAGATTCCATGAAATTACAAAAAGCTGAGAACGCACAAATAATTTCTGTCTAGTCAAAAGAATAACTCCAAAGGTTAGTTTTATTACCCTATAGGACACAACCCACTTTGGAACTAACTTAGAACTCTTATCCCAGCCCTCCTTATTTTCTATTAACTCTTTTCCCACCAGTTTCATACGTCCTCTCTTCCGCCATCCTGCTTTGCCATTTACTTAAATAAGACGTCAGCGTGTGTTCACTGTGCCTTCAGATGAGAATTTTGATTTTATTAGTTTGAGAATTAGGGTTTTGACTCCTGTTAGGGCTTTTTCCCCTTGTTTTTGAAAAAATTAAAAAAAAAATCACTCAATAACCAGCCCGAGCTCGCACCTGAGACTCTCCTAACTGACTCCAGGCAGGTGTGCCGGCAACCTTCATCATCCCCTCTCTGCACACAGCTCACCTGTGGCACTGACCTCCCTCTGTCTTCCCTACCCAGCTAAGACCTAATTAATCGCTCCACTTTACCAAAGGCTGACCAGCTAAAGGCCATGCGCTCTCGTGTTAACCCTGAAAGACAGGCATGCTTGCTCCAGACTGCATAGACCAAGCCTCCCGCTCCTAAATCAGAAGTGGGCTGACTTAAGAATTATGTCATGTGCACCATGAGGGCCCTACGCACAGGCAACCGAAAGTGGCCCGCTAAAGGTGACTGGAACAGAGAGGCCATCTTACAAGGCTGGGCAAGGGAAGATGTTGCAGGGCTCCTCCTCGGGGGCTGGCTTCGTGCTCGAGTCACAGTAGCTCTCAGGCACCTCTTCATGAGTGTTTCTGTGCACACAGCGGAAAATTGGGTACTGCGATCCTGCAAGGATGGGGAGGACACACCTGAATATGAGGCTGTGGATGCCAATGCACAGAGACCCAGGTGCAGAGCCATCACACACACACACACACACACACACACACACGTTCTCACTCCCATGCTTACACACCACCCGCACAAGGGCTTTCCGAGGCACGGACGGAGGCAAAGACGGGTAGAGATACTTCCTGCCTGCAAAGACCTTATCATCTCATTGTGGACAGGGTCTGAGTATGTTCAAAGGCAGATGAAATCAATTTTCATAAGAGTTCAGGACACCAAGAGATTTCGCCAGGCAGGGGAGTGATGATAAAATGAACACACAGAGTAACTCCTTGAAGGTTTTTTGGAGACATCGAAGAGAAAGGGTCCCAGTGGGGTCGAGCTGCATCGTAGAGGAAGGGTTGGGTCTGTGCACATGTGTCTTGGCAGGGAGGGGGCTGTCCAGGCCGCAAACTCACTGCAAGTGCCAGGTGTGCTGAAGACAGTCAGGTTGGGACAGAGAAGTAAGAAGATTCAAGAGAGGCTAGAAAAGCAGCTGGCTTCCCCTTCTGTAAATCACAGCGCTGATCTATTGGTATTTAATAAATAATAAAGTACTGATCTAATGGTATTTTAGTTATTTGGGTATTTCTGCCTCCTACGAGATAGTGAACTTCTCAGGCACAGGACTAGCTCTTGTTTGTCCCTGTAACTAACCCGGCACGGCAGAGTAGTAAGTGCTCGGTGAAAGTTTGTTGAGTGAATATTTATCAGACGTCTAATGTTTCTTTTATTACTTTGCTAAACAAAATACTAATTGCCTCAGTTTTTTTGTTTGCTTTAAAAGTACAGCCTAGTGCTGTGGAGAAAGGGGAACCCT